GAAATCAGTTTCATTAGCAGTGAAACAAACCCTACCTTTTATCCCCCATTAAAAATCTAATGTTCAAGACCGAGTGCACTAAACTGCCTGCAAACAAACTCCACTGTGTTTGTGCAAACCTTGATTTGCATGTGTACATCAGTATTTCCTTGTGCAAATCAGCAGTTATGCAGCTACACTGGGCTTTTCACATACACAACAGTGCACATTCAATTAAGCATGTCTGCTTTTGGAAATTTAGCCCAAAACATTTTTAAATCACCCCTCATTAAATGTGTATCCAACACTACCACGCTGTAGGGAACCACACCCAAAGCTGCTTACTGAGCTGCTGATGCTACATGTAACCAGAAAGTGAAATGAAGAGAGTGCAAACAGGAAATGAGACAAGCTGCAATTTACCATAGGCTTTGAGAACAGTTCATGAATTTCTGTTGAAATGAATCCTGCTGTTGTCTAGGCATGAGAAGGGGTTGTGTCTATATTTTAAAAACAAATCTTGGAAGAATTATGGTCAGTGTTGTGTTATCAGTTGCTTTTGACTGAAGCTGAAAACTGAAATCCCTAGATATCCCCCATGATGATCCCAGAGGAGGGAGCACAAGAGGACTACAGGCCACACTCAATCATAGTGGATGGAGTGCGATGGCAGTACATAGCAAGAAGTCAGTATGCCATTCACCTTTAACCTCAGCTTCATGCCAGAAGAGGCTGAGGAAGACCCCTGTAGAAAAGGCAGCTCTGTTTAACAGTGTCACAACTTGGGCTTGCACCAAACAAACATGGGTAAACAACCTAGAATGGATTCAGGTGAGGTACAAAAAAGATCTGCTAACAGGCTGCTCTCTCAGTCCCAGCTCTAGCTCCAAGGCTGCCAGCATGGCATGTTGTGTAACCCTCAGGCTTTTGGCAGCCTTGCCTGCAGCCCTGACGGAATTTATTGCAACCCTCTCATGACTTTATTGCAAGTAATATGATTTGGGCCGCGGATGGAGCCAATCTGGTGACGGTGTGAAAAACTCCAGCCTTCATTTCTTCCCCATGTCCTCACCTCCTGAGGAAAAGCTGCTGCAGGAAGCAGGCAGAGAGAGAGAGATCCACCTTCCCACTGGAGCTGAGAGGAGGTGTGTTGTTTGGGGGCGGTGAGGGGGCAGATGGAGCAGCCAACACAAATCTCGCAGGAGGGGATGAGGAAGAAGAAAGCAGAAAGAGCCCAGCAACTCAGGGTGGCTCTGCTCCCTCCTCCCCACTTCCATCCTGTGAAAAAAGGGACAGTCTGCTCCCTCCTCCTCCCTGCTTCCATTTCTATCACATTCCCTGTAACTCCAGGCCTTGGAAGACGAAGAGGGGAGCAAAGAATCTTAGGAGCTGCCCATCCCCACAGGTGTGGGAACTGATAGAAGAGGGTCCTGTCCCTCCCAGGCCTGGAGTTGGCGAAGAACCCCTAGAGCTACAAGATGAGCAGATGTACCCAGAGGGGCAAAGGGCAGATGTGGGACTGGAGTAGGACAGAATTGATTTGGGGGCTGGGAATTTCATAATTAATTGGTGGCTGGGAATGGGCAGATGTGGGGCAGGGTGGACGAAGAACTAATTAATGAGAATGTTGGTTAGGAGAGAATCTGGAAGCTCTGTACCAGCTCAGTGCGCCAGTGAGAACTCTTGCAGCAGGGTCACCACACAATAAATCTGGGAGAACTGGCAATGCTATAACTGCCCCACATGCTGGGGGTGGGCAGGGGGAGCTCAAAAATTACAGATCAAAACACAATATATTCTTTTTAAAAACATCTCTTTTTGGGGGGGTCTGACTCATGATCACTGGACTTTTGGGACCAGCAGGACTGCCACCCCCAGCCATGCAGTGCAAGTTATCGAAATGGGGGCAGGGAGGAGGCAAGGCCACAGTCGTATACCCTCAGTGTTCTCCGAGCAGCAGGCCAGGCAGGCAGGGGAATATGGGCTGGTATGAGATGGACATGTGGAGGACTGTGGTGGGGTGCGGGCTGGGGGTTTAGAGTAGGGGTAGGATTACCACCAGTCCAGGTTTTACTCGAACAGTCCGGTTTTTGCCTTCTCCATCCGGGTGCCATTTGGGGTTGCCAGGTGCCCAGTTTTCAACAGGAAAGTCCGGTCGAAAAAGGGGCTAGGCAACCCTAAATGGCACCTGAACCAAAAGTCCGGTTAGAGCAGGATGGAGGGAGGTGCTGCATCATTAATCTATGCAGCCTCTGCTCAGCTGGGGCCACCTCCTACCTGCAGCCAGGCTCCTTGAGATGATCCAGTGAGTGATGAGGGTGGGACCTTTGGGGGGAAGAGGCAGAGAAGGGGCTGGGCCTGTGGGGAAGTGGTGGAGCAGGGGCAGGACCTCAGGGGTCTGGTTACCAGCAATTTGAAAGGTGGCCCCGGTCCCACTGTGATTGAGCTTAGCAGTTCCAGAAGCGGCATTGCAGGGGGTGATGGTCTCTGGCCCCATTGGGGGTGGAGGAAGCTGGGGGAAGGTTGCGGGGGGGGGGCACGGATGGGGAATGGGTTCTTGCTGCAAACTTCTAAGGGAGTAGGAAAGGGGCAACACTCTGAAGTTTTGCCTGGGGCAGCAGACTGACTTGAGTGGCCTTTGACCTGAAACATAATCTCACCAGTACTCCTCATGGGGTCATTTGAACACATATCACCCACTTCACACAGCAGTGGTATAATTTCCACCATCTGGCCTTTCAAATGCATCCAAACTCTGAACCTTTGGGGTTTCCCTGTCACCGGGTTTATATTGTATAGAATTCTGCTCTGCAGATGTTGGGGTTTGCTTCTGTATGCTTTTGCATGACTGCATCTTCATGACAATGTTTGTTTGTTACACACACCTATGTCTTATCTTAATTTAGTTCTTTGTGGCAGAAACTGTCGTTTACCTACGTATTTGTATAGCATCTAACACAAGGGGGCCCGGGTCTAACAGGGGTCTGAGCATTAGTGTAATCATAATTAATGTAACACACAGTAAAACACATGCATGTAGGATTTACTGCTGTGTTGGTCCAGTAGAAGAGTGATTTTTAAGAAGAGCCAGAAAAATGCATTAACTTTGTGGTTCTGATCATTGAAATATTATTTAAAAAGACATGAGTCATCAGCATGTACACACATAACTCTGGAAGACAGGATCCTGGCTTATTTGGAAAATAGCCCATGGTAAAAAAAAAATACTAAATTGGTGTCAACTATTGTTTTCCCATCACTAATGATTGGCATGTGAAGCAGGTAACTATGGTTCATAGTGTGGGACAACAGTCTCTGTTTTAGAGGGATAGTCCCTATTTGGCAAAAAAATCTCTCTCATTTTTCAGTTCTGTCTCTGCAAAATCCTTTCCCGGAGAAATATATTTCAGTGGAAATAAAGAGATAATTTGATCTACCTCAGTATAATTTGGACAGGTGCTGTGGGAAATTTAGAATAGACAGTATGTTATTTCTGTAATGGCAGCTCCTTTCTCCATGTAAGGAAGATGAGAAGTTCAGGATGATGGAGAAAGACTAAAAGAGGCTCTAGGATGTGTAGACTATAAGGAATCTTATGGCAGGAACCTATAGGATGTGTAGGCTAAAAGGAACCTATAAGGAACCCAGAGGTCTTGCAGCCCTTACTGTAGAGTTTTACCTGAATAAGTGCCACAGTGGTTGGAGTAAGGGCCGCAGAGCCCATATGAATTTTGTGCAGAATCAAGCCCCTAATCATAAAATATTTGCTTTGGCATTATACTCTGTCAGCGGTGCAGGCCATTCCTGGAGAGCAAACTCATATTCTCTTCAGGTTATCTCATAACCACATGCAGGTTTTTCTCAGCATTAAAGCTTTCCTTCTGACTAGTTCTGCCTTGCTTCTGTTATCTAACAATATTTGGGATTACTCCTGTCCAGAAGAATACATTTGTTCTTTGTCCAAATGAAACTTCATTCTATTCATTCCAACCCATTTTTCCCCACTCACTCTAGATCCACTTGTATTTCTTCTCAGTCCTCCATTGTGTTTGTAATAAATTACAGCTGGCTGTGATCTGCAAAGATTAATGAGTCTTTTCCCCTCCTTCACATCATGTATGAAGATGTTAATTAAACAAAGCGGTACTCAACATTGACCCTGCAGGACCCCATTAAAAATTTTTCTGCAACTAGATACATCATTTATATAACCACTCTCTGTTTACAATCTATCATTCCCTGATCCAGGCTTTTTTTAATGCGGTGTAGCCTCAACCATACAGCTGATTTTTGTGCGTGTACATTCTGAGGTGTTACAGGGAACTGCACATCATGAAGAGGCAGCATTGGGTAATATTTATCATTGTCTAATCATGAATTACCTAATGGAGATGCTGAGATTTTCAAAATAATTAGTGTACAATGAAACTAAAATAATACAAGTCAAAACGAGAATAAAAGAGACTGCATATGTAAACAGACAAATACATTTCTGGGCAGACAAATACACTCCTGAAAAAATGAATGAAAACATTGACTGTCCAATGGTAAAACAACAATCACATGTCATCTTCATAATTTGTAGAAAACATCATTTAAAATGTGTGTGTGAATAAAAAATGGAAACAAAGTCATTATTGTGTAAAAGAAAAGTGTAATTTTGCTGCTTGATGCTCAGATTATATTACCCTTAGAGAGTACACTTCAGCAAAAACAGCTATTATTTGTTACAGTGAATAAAATTGTTTCCCATCCATTGTAGGATTAGTAATGCTCACACTGGCACTTCTTCTGTAGCTCTTGACACATATTAAGTGTAAAAGCAATTTTGTTTCAAGCAAAATTGCTTTTTAATGGTTTACTCAATGAGCATTCAAAATATCGAGAACCAAAAGGAACAATATAAATAAAACAACTGTAACTCAAAAGGTAAAATACAGGAAATAATGTCAAGCATCTGATGAAGTTACAAGTAAAGTCAACATTAAAAAAAAAAAAGGCAAACAAAAAAGAACCCTTACCTTGAATTCTTTTTCAATGTTGGCCAACTTGGCAAGCTCATTACTGAGTTCTAGAGCTGTGAGAACTGGGTCTTCACTAGAAAGGGACAGGTAAGCAGGACTAGCCAGGCCTTTGTAGGCATTTATCCTCGACCTGGAGTGACTAAAAGAATCGTGCTTTTGCTTTTCAGTGCAGTCATTGCATTTGCAGAAATAGTCGTGAGGTCTTTCTATCCTCGCTCCTTTCATTAACAACATGTGCACAACCTCGTATTTTTGGCAATGGGCAGCTAAAATGATGGGGGTGATATCTGGAGAGAAGCGGGTGCCATCTTCGTCATAGGAATAAAAATCATCATCCTCGAGCTCCTGCTCGCAGGGGCTCAGAGTCAGTCGCTTATTTGCTGCAAAACCGGGATGATTCAAAATTGCTTCCACTATCCGGATGTACCCCTTGCTGATTGCGAGCAGCAGTGCATCTCCAATTCGCGCCAAGTTCTCCTTCTTCAACAGAAGTTCTGTCACTTCCAAATGCTCATTCCCTACAGCCAGCTGCAAGGCGTTTTGGCCCATATAATCAACACAGTTGACATTTAGAGTTTTTGACTCCTCCAGCATTTTGCGCACCACGGGAATGTTCCCATACTCTGCTGCATCCAGAAAACGCTCTTCTTCAGCAGTGAGGCTTGTGCCCCTGTTGTTGAACATGAATGCTGGGCCTCTAATAGCTTGCCTTCTTCCCTTTTCCCTCATCATAGTCATACGTCTCAGAGATGGGCTTCCTTCAATGGACCTAATAAGCAGAAAAGATAAAATAATTGTAGACTATTATAGCAGTTATTTCCTTCCCCAGCTATAAACACTGATGACTTTCTCCTTTGTCTTGTGTCATTTGCCCAGCTGTCGGCCTGTGTCTCCCTCTGTCCTGGCCCTTCACCCTTTACCCTTGCACAGAAAAGGCTTCTTGGTAGAGGAGGGGTCACAGACCCCTATATTGTCTCTTGCTCACAACTGAAAGGTGTTCACAGACTCATTTCCTGTAGGCCCATTTCTCCTCAAGGACCATAGTAAAATATTTTTATGTGCAACATCATTTCCTTTCAAAAATATCTTCTAAGCACATTCAATAGGTACACATAGGAAACATCAAGTCCTGTATCCTCCCCACAACAGTGGCACAGACCTGATAGATTAGATGAAGGCAAAATACAAACAAACCATATGGTACCTTGCACTACATGCAATGCTGTAAGTGGGGAAAACTTTCCTTCCTGACCCTAGCTGGTGATCTCTGCACATAGACTGGACAACACCAATTACACATTTTTTAGCATGCACCACTACCAGTGTTTGGCCAACTTTTAAAAACTGTACTCAGCCCTTACTAACTTCAATCTCAGTTCTGCCTGAGGAAAGACTAAGTAAAAAGAGAGTGAGGACTTTATTATTTGGCCCATTGTGGCTGGTCACAAGGTTATCTCCAATGATGCCATTTGACTGTATGACAGCTATTAATGAAGTAGATATCTATTAACAGAAAATAACTTCGCCCACTGTAAGCCATGTTTTTATTTTAGGTGTGGCTGGCAGCACCATCTGCTATTAAGGTATTAATGCTTCCCATTGTAAAACCTTGTTTTTCAGTTGTTTATAATTCTGCCAATCTTTAACCATTTGGGCTTAAATTTTCCATGCTGGGTGTCTGCCTCAAACTGAATTATTTTGGAAAGTTTAAGAAAATGGTTCAGCTATTTCTAGACATAAGATTAGGGGGAAATACAGTGTTTTGCCCATGTTAATGAATTGGTGGTAAGAATTATTTTTAGAAGCTGCTGTAGGAGTCTCCATGCCTTGGAGCAGGCACTTGAAATTTGTAAAGGGGTGGCCTTAGTGTCAGGGATGTGCCTTTTGCATTTCCTGTGAAAAGTCACCCACATTTAGCTAAGTTATGACTAGCCTTGTCAGAATTCAATTTTTAATTTATAATTTCAACAGATCATATCAATGTTTATTTGAAGCATTTTTTATTTTTATCAATTTAAATTTTCACAGTCCGGGGAAATTATGTGTATGTGGGGGGGGGGGGTCAAACCATAATTATTTAATGACAATTGACACTGAGATTCAAAAAGTTAAAGCTTTATAAACACAAATTGTCAAAATACACAAAGTAAATATCCTTAAATCAAACGTTAAAAAATTCATAAGCCACATTTTTCTTAATTTGCTTATCTGTAATTTTTGATTATTGCCTATGGAAGTGTTTTTTCCATCAGTTTGTGCGTGTACAGCGAAAGTGACATTTACTGATAAAAATGTAACTGTGCCAAACCTAGTTATAAGCTTTTAAAAAAATAGCTCACACAAGCTCAGTAGAGACATGTTAGCAGCTAAATTCTTGCTAGTCAGTTTAATTCTCTTAAGATCCTATCTGTACTGAGCAGGCTCAGGCCCAGAGATGCAGGGGCTGAGTGGGACTTTCCCTGAAATTTCTGTTCTTGGCTGCTGCAAATCCAAATGGGGTTGGGCATAGGAACTGAGAGCACAGAGACTGTCTTTCCTGTGCTCAGTGCTCTCTCTCTTCGTGCCCAGGCAGCCTCGAGGACGAAGCTGCCTGACTCAAATGCCTATGGGACAAGAGCTGGACCTACAGGGCTGGAGGGAGTAGATTGGGACAAGAAGCCTGGGACTGGGAGCTGCTATGGGAGAGAGGCAGAGAAACTGGGCTGAGCAAAGAGACCCATTCTGGGAACCATTGTGGGGAGCAGTGATGATGACTGGAAGCTAGTGCAGAGGAAGACAGATTGGGGAAAAACTGGGACTGGCTGGGGAAGGAGACTGGGATGAGGAGCCTGGTGGGCAGCAAATAAACTGAGATTAGATGAGTAACCAGGCTGGGTGTGGGGATGGGAACTAGCTGGCAAGGAGAGGAGTGGCAAGGCAAGAAGTCAGATTGGATGAGAAACCTGGGGGAAGAGGACTGGAATTAGGATTGGCTGGGCAAGGAGCTTGGAGCATATTCTTGGATGAGGAGTCCAGGTAGGGAGAGTGGGAGCCAGAAATGGGTGAAAGGTGAGAAAGATGGCATTATAGCATCTTTAATTATATTGTCATATACTATTTTCCCCCAAGACCTCTGGTTTGTTCAGTGCACAGAATGGACAACCTCCAAGGATCAATGAGGTCTGTGTAGTGCGGGAAGCTGGTTTGTTTTTTTTTTTGCAGAAATTGGAAGGTGACTGAGTCAGGGGACAACTGGAAGCAAATGGGGGGGGGGGTCTCGTGGTTAAGGTAGTTGAATGCTGCCCGGAAAACTGGATTCTATCCCTGCCTCTGCCACTGAGTTCCTATTTAATGCTGGGCAAGACACTTAATGCCAAATTTTTCACAATTTTTCACTAGCTGTACGTTCTTTTTCTGGTGCCTGACTTGAAACCATGAAGTCTGATGTACAGAATGCTAAATATGAAGAATGCTTTGAACAGTTAAAGTGCAAGATATACTAAATACTGTGAAAAGTCATATTCAAGGTGGCTCAGTTTGGGCACCTAAACTTAGTGGATATTTTTGACCTTAATCTCCTTCTGCCGCTGTTTCCCACCTTTAAAATGGGGACAATATCCCCTCACTGCCCAAGGGTGTTGTGAAAATAAAGTAATTAATGTTTGTGAAACACCTGCATACTATAGTGATAAGTGCCATAGAAAAGCCCATGAGGAAATTAATTCCATCTTCAGAGCAGAATAGTGTATAGTAAATAAGGCCTTGGGCCATATATTGAACAACAAGTAGTAAATAAAACATTAAATAGCTGCTTATTAAGTACAGTCCATTTTATGCACCGAATGAGTCAGGAGTCCTATGGAAAAAAATAGTATGTGATGATGTAATTAAAGACTGCATCACCATGCACATGGGGCTGAATTAAGGTTAAACAGACAACCTTAATTTGGGCATTTCCTAACATCTGAGTGCTTGACAATGCAACCTTCTTAATAGTGTTCTCTGATGACTGGATTGTACTGCCATGGTACAGAGAACTCGCATTGACTTCAGTGGGAATTCACTATAAGATGCAGTCATTTTGGACCCAAAGATTTTTATTCTGCATAAAAAATTCCATTCATGATGTAGGAGGGATGCTGCTGTTGCAGCTGTCTGCATCAGCCCATAATATATTGAGCATAACAAACTCTTTATAACTTTGTGAAAGCTACAAGCATCCTGAAAGCACACTGGTACAGCCCTTGGCTATTTTAGCTAACACAAATGTGCTGTTTCATTGCAACCATTCTGGATGGTGATATTACAATATTAATTACCAATGGCAGGCCTCTCCAGTGATAAAATAATTTTATCTTATTTAAATGTTCAAGCATGATCACTATTATATAGCAGCAGTGACTTGTGTGGCACTACCATGTAGTCTAGGCAAAAAGAGATATCTAGTTTTTGAAACATGTCAAACGGCTATGCCAAAGAACACACCTCCATTATCCTTTGCTCCTGAACCTCTATACTTTGTCTACAAAAAAGAAAAGCTGCATTACAAAGAGGATTTGTGACTTTGTGCTCAGCTCAGAACTGATTTAGGCATATTTTACATGTGAAAGCATTTTGAGAGAGGTTTGACTGTGGAGTATAGGTGATGAACAGCCAGTATGATATCACCCTCTTGCCCTTAAATCACAAATAAAAATTAGAATATAGTAAATATAAAAAGGCTATTTAAACAAGATCATAATGAATATTTGACATGCTGCTTGGTTTCTACCCATCTTTCCATTCCAAAGATGTAATGGTACCTATGGGGAGGATCACTCTCATATATTGTAATATTTTTATTATAATTTTATTAAACAGCAAATAAAGACAGAATAAATTATTTTATGATTAATCCTTAATCTAAAGAGGTTCTAAGAATTTGCTTTGCAACCCACCTATCTTTTATGAAATAAGTGATTAACATACTATTCATTTCTCAAATATTCCGTACCATTTTTTCAATACATTTTTATTTCCCATTCTATAAATCATTCTTTCAGAACCCATTGCTAGAGTAAAGAGACTCATTTGGTTTCTTTGGAGGAGATACATCCTTCCAAAGGCACAATGTGGAGTATGTTTTGCCAATAAGAAAGATGTACTCAGCAACGTACTTTATGACAAAACGATATGACGTGCATGAGATGTCGTTTCAAAATACATAAAATGAAAGTTGCTGGTATTTTACTAACTAAAGCATTGACAGACCTTCCGAAAAAAACCAAGAGCTAGCGATTTTGTATGGTACCACATTGCCAGAATATATAGCTAAATGGCTAGATCCAGGCAAATCTCTCATCAAATTTAGAGACCTTCCTGAAGTCAGTTGAAATTGTCAAAGTAAGAAGTGGAGGATCAGATAGTCTGCTATTTCCTTTTCTAATCTCCACTTCTCAAATTTAATGATCACTTTTTAAAAGGAATCCCAAGGAATTTATGAAATATTTTGAATAATTGAAGTTTTAGCTTTGCATTTGTGATTGCACTATAATTATCCTACATTTAGTACTGGCAATCCAAAGCATTCAAAAATCAAGTTAGCCCTTCCCAAAATCGTGAGACTGACTTTAAAAAAGTCACAAGATTTAATATAGTTTTGGTTCTTTTTATTTGCCTTCTGTTTTGTCAGCCTTTAGGGTTCACATGTTCAAGCTTTTCTTTGTAACCATGAAGGATAAAAACAATTACAAAAATAAACTGAGATTCTCCTGACTCCAATGCATTCTTAGACAGACGTAATGTTAGTTT